CCCCTACCCGCCGATCCGACGGCGCGTCTAAAAACGGCGGACCGGCTGGGAAAAAATAAAAATCCCCGTGGGGTGCGCACCGTCGGCATCCCCGATCTCATTATTCTACTTAAGAGAATAAAATATCGCGGAGCGTTCGTAGAAAAGCCTACAGAGACGGTGCCAAAAGCAGACGCGGCGCTTTTTTTCGTCCTGCAGCGATCCTCTTTTTTTCACGACAATTAAGCTTAACGAGCCGCTGTTTGCCGGACATATTTGAGGCGGCTTCCCACTTATTAGCGCCGGCACGGCGCTAACTCTGCGCTCGTAACGTCGCGCGTGTTTGCTCGCTACATACTGACGAAGAACCGACTAAAGACGACACGGAGGAGCGGCCCGGGGCGGCGGAGGAGTTGGTAGGCGGGGTATGACAAGCAGCAGCGAGCCTCCAAACTGCTTCCTCCAGCCGCTTGTTTATGTTGCCCGGACGTGGCGTAAATTGCCGTGATTTGCATCCAAGTAATATTTGGATGTCTTCCGTGTACCCCATTCGATGTCACGCCGCGAAATTGGTATCATTGTTAATTTCCTGAATTAACGGGCGCCTGATCGTCCTCAAGGTAGACGGGCTGTCTTCCACACACGCGGCCGCGGATCCGCGCCTGAATAAAGTGGCGACGGGCTAATTATTCCGGGCGATACGCCGCTTCCGTAAAATTCCCCGTGCACCCCCGCGAGGCGTGCGCGGGTCTTTCGCGGGTAATCGCTGCGAACGGGGCGAGGCGGATTTAAATTAAATTCCGCCGGGGGTTGCGGCCGTTTGAAACGCGAGAAGACAATTATTTTCGTGGCGCGTCCGCCGGGTGGAAAATAAAATTCTAGACGTGCCGCGGAGCGCGAGGGAACGATTCACTTTTGCGCACTTCGGTCGGCGCCTTTGTAAAATGCGAGTACCAGGGAAGAAGTTTTAATTGTCTGCTGATATTTTTGCTTTCTTTTGTAACGTTAGCTGTACGTGTTGAACCTTACAGTTCGAAGTTCTGCGAACGTTTGAACATTCTTTGTAGGTTTCTCTTATATTTTTCTTATTGCGCTTTTTTTTTATAGCTTTTGATACATTTCTTTGGTAAGTTTATAATTTCAATGTTGGCGTTTTATTCTTTTCGTGATTATGGAGTGTATGTAGAGTAAGGGAGTCCGATATAATATTTTTCCGCGGTAATATACTTTTTGTACTTCAAAAAATTCAGCTAATGGACAAAAAATAGTAAGAAGAGGTTGGAGTGACTAAAAATGGAAATGCAGAGTGTAAACTGAATCTACATAAAATTATCAGAAATTTCCTTGAAATTTGTTATAAAAGTTGGTTTATTAAGAAATTAATTATTATCCGAAACAGATTATGAATTTTCTATAGTTCAACCACGACTCATTTGCTCCTGAAGTTCCGTTGACCCATAAAAATATCCTTTGTTTCTGTTTACGGGTTTCCGGGTGCTCTTGTATACGAAATAGAGGGAGGAGATCCGTGTATGTATAACTATACTCGGCAAACAGCCGTCATTTGCATATGCGGCCCTTTAGCTTCTGCTTAATTAGGAAAACGCGATGCGTGCTTCTCTCGGCGCGGCGTTTCTGCCGGCTTTTGCATTCGAGAATCCTGATAAATTACTCGATCCGTTCGTCTATGAACGCAAAAATCTTTTGTCATATTTTCGTATTGAACAACTGAATACCAATGCTATTTTTTCACACGAAGTTACGTCGATAATCAAGATCAAAAATTATACTACTGTCTTAAATATAAAATATAAATTCCGATTTTGCAAAAATGGAAAATACAGAAATGGAGAAATGGAAAAATAAAGTAATGAACTTATACAATGTATTTTATCGGGCAATACAAATTTCAGCGTTTATTAACCTGTTAATTAGTCAGTCTTTGAATCGTAAATGCACGCGTAATTAAAATTGGATTAAAACGGTCTGCGCAATTTGTTACGGGATAAACGAGAACACGATGTTGTTTTTAAGGATATCATAATATTATTAAATACAATTACTTATGAGTTTGTAGTCCTTTTTTTTTGTTTTTTTCATTACTAAACTATAAATGTCTCCAAAAACTTTAAAGCAATATTTCTTTAAATAATAAAATCAATACTGACCAATTAATTTGTTTTCCTCGTTCAACGGATGAAAAATGTTAAAACAATAAAGCGTTACTAATTCTGTTGTGAATCCTATTTCTTAAAGAGCACCGTCGATTCGAATGGTGGCTGGCATGTGGTGGTTCTTCACGTTGATTATGGTATCCTCGTACACCGCCAACTTAGCTGCGTTCCTCACGGTAGATAAAATGGACACTCCTATCAAAGGAGTGGAAGATCTAGCGAAACAGACGAAAATAAAATACGGCGCTGTTTCTGGTGGATCCACATCTAGCTTTTTCAGGGTACGATCTATATTCCATAGATATTTCCTCAAGAATAAACAGATCTTTATTGAATTATCAAATAATATAAAATTAGTATAGTATAAACAGTAATATATAAATATTTATCATATTGACATAGTCATCTGTGCAATACTGATCCTTGATTAATCAACCAACGTTAAGAATTTTAATATTATTGAAATTCTCAGAGACATTTGACAGAAATAACAAACAAAATATATTCAATCTTTAGTTGATTGTTTAACGTGTTTTTCTGGCAATAGATAAAGATTCCAGTTTTTTCAAATCTTTCTACTCTCATTTAAAAATAATTATGATAGTATTATGAAACGTAATTTTATCTTGATCAAAGGATTCAAATTATTCAACATATCAACGTATGTACGCGGCGATGTTGGAAGCGAGGCCGAGCGTCTTCACGAAGACCAACGAGGAAGGTGTCGAACGTGTACTCAAAAAACGCGATTACGCGTTCCTAATGGAGTCAACCACGATCGAGTACAGGATGGAACGGCAATGCGAACTGGACAAAGTCGGAGGACTCATTGATAACAAAGGATACGGAATTGCTTTGCCACGAAGTAAATATTAGAAAATTGTCAACTTCGATAATTTCGAATAATGATCGATACTACGTCAATTTGAATTTGCGGGGAAATAATTGTAGACTCATTGTAACACGCCTATTGCATTACGATAAGCTAATGAAATTATGGACAGATACCAATTACCAATGCGATAAATTAACAAACGCCAATTAACGTTCCTCGTAATGTCTGTAATTGTGGTTAACTCGTATATTATTTGATGATTTAATATATAGCGTAACGTTTTGAGATAATCGATAACTCACGCAGACGCGTGCAATAGTAATGATCAGAGCTGCCAGTAATTTCAAATTATTCATTTATAACGTAATAAAACACCGTTAACGCGTCCATTCTTGCGACGTTTATGCACATCACGAAATTTTTGTTTCGATTTCTGAATATTCATTGTCAACGGAATTAAATATCATTATTGTGCTCGAAAAAAATTGAATGAGTTTTATCAAAATTGCCTATGTTTAATTCCAACAGATACATAATGCATAAAAAAACATTTCCTATATTTTCTCCTTTTTGATCTCCATACACCATTTTTACAAAATTCATTTTCATACACCAAAAATTTCAGCCAAAAGACAGGCTACATTTCATTGAAATCGACTTAATTAAAACATAGTCTATCTTTTCGTCATATTACAATAATACTAAAGAATGAAATGAATTTTTGCCAATCGGATAGGGTAAAGTCTATGATAGAAATCTTAAATTAAATGTCACTTTCCAGACTCCCCGTACAGAACGCCCATAAGCGCCGCGATATTACAGTTGCAAGAGAAAGGCGTGCTGCAGGACCTGAAGAAAAAGTGGTGGCAGGAACGAGGGGGTGGTTTATGCGCGGCGAAAGACACGGAGACGACGAATTCGAGTGAATTAGGGTTGGCCAACGTCGGCGGTGTATTCTTGGTCCTTCTAATCGGATGCTCGGGCTCGTTTGTCATCGCCATCTGCGAATTCCTCTGGAACGTGCGAAAGGTCGCCGTGGAGGAGAAGGTGAGCCACCATTACTTATTCCTATATAGGCTCCTATCTCATCTCATAATCTTTCATTTGAATCGTGTGATGGATTTTTCTTCATAATTTATTCATTAAACGATCGAAGAAATATATCATCGAGTATATCATATTATTTAAGAATATTTCCTGCGATCAAAAAAAGAATACTAAAAGATTATATAAAAAGTATACCTTCATTCGAGACCGTTTCTGAGGAACAAAAACTTCATTTAATGATAAATATTTTAGCTCTTAATGCACTGAACACGTAGATTCATGTTTCCCCGCGATAACTTTCTTCAATGGGTCATGTTTTATATTTCCGTGGACGAGTTTTTATTTAATCAAAAACACTTGAAAGCTAAAAAAGATAGAGAAAACCCAATCCGTCCATTAATTGTTAATACACAAGAAGTGTCGAGTTGTTCTTTTCAGAGGCTCTTTATTCCTGTGAAGCGAAAATAATCGAGAGTTAAACGCAAACTGCAATTAGTCTACTTTAACTCGTATTCTAAATTTTTTAAAATACCACATTCTAACAGTATTTAAAATACAATTATAAAGTTCACTTCTAATTATACTGAAATATATTCCGTTAGATATAATACCGACTTAAATGAAATATAAATACTAAATTACACTTTTTCTTAAAATATAAAAGGCTTATTTCCCTAAAAAGCGAGGAAAGCTCCAAAAGTTTGTACGCCGGTACGCGGAAGAGCACTAGATTCCCTTCACAGGAAAAACCATTCAAAATTCAGTACATTGCTGCGCGGCGCGTTCGCGAATCGACCTGATGCCATTCCGGGCTGCAGAAAAATAGCGCGTTTAATTTTCTGAATGCTAAATATTTAATAACATCTACGAACAAGAACGTCTACGTGTTCAGGACCCATTAAACTCGCGATTCGCGTAATTCTGAACTCCATGCAAACTTCGCCCCCTCCGCGAAGGGCGGAATTGAAGAGCACTCGCGTGTAATTCCGCGAAAGAAAGGAACGGGCTAGTCCAAAAGGGAATAGTGATTCTTTCAAGCGATAATGAAAAAAATATTAAAACAAAACGGAAAGGAAAGAAAGGAGGGAAAAGAGGAGAAAAGGGTAGCGAAGGGAAAAAGGGTTCATTGTGACGGTATAAAACGCGCTGCGGAATAAACGACGTTGATTTAATTAAGCGGTGCCCCGGACACGAAACCATTTTTCGTCGGCGTTCTTGCAGGTCACTCCATGGGAGGCGCTGGTAGCAGAATTGAGATTCGCCGTGAACATTTGGGCGGAGACGAAGCCTGTTAAAATCTCAAAAAGCAGCGGCACGAGTTCGATGGAGGACGGCATCGGCCGGGCCGCGTCCACTGCTCGCTCTATAGTCGGCTCCTTCCTTCGACTGGACATGCTAGACAAATTCGACAAGGATAACAATACGAACGATCGCAGCGACGATCGTAAGATCAACTGAAATTGCGTTGGGTCGTCCCGCATACTTTCACCGAATTCACTTTTGCACAGCGGAACGAAAGTGAGATGACCGTTACTGCTGGGCTGCGCATTCTTATGCAAATACGAACTTTAATGAACTAGTTTATGGAAACTGGAGTTGAATATTTACTTCTCTTATTATGGATTTCATTGGTGCAACCGTAATGTAAGAATTGATTTCAATGTCGGTATATATATTTTGTTGGCTTCGACGCGATTGTGGATGCTGCGGCTGCAGGAAATCCGCGTCCGGTTATTATTTTGATCGACTCGAGAGATTTATTCTTCAGTTGGATAACTCTTTGGTGAATTATCGTTTCATTGCTGTGATCCAAATAATCAAGAGTAAAAATAAGAGTCTGTTTTCAAGAAAGCACACATGTGGGAGCTGCTCTTGGAGATTACTCTCGAGTGGAGACGTTGCATTAGGTTGTTGCATTTGAAAGGGTAATTATGTGTATACATATATATCATTTATATGGTTTGGTCTTTTTAACAATTTACATTTAGTTTTATTGAAATGATGTAGTTTACCGTTTTCATAGATAAATGTATCATGGAATCGGTATAATGTAATCAATGCTATTCTCTAATTCGTTTGCAACGACGTAATGTAATCATTGACTCGGATACACTGTGGTCAATGCTATATGTAGTCATCATTCACGGTGACTGAATTAATTCAGACATTGTGAATCGTTTTTCCTACTTTTATATCATAGTATTTCAATAATTGATAGTGTGTTTCTGTACAAATGAAGTGTAGCTATATAATGTAATGATGTACAGTGATCTTGGATGAATATTTCATTTAACTGCAGCAATAATTAAGTTAACATACAAAGTGCACCAGAGGAGGCTCAATTCTTTAATTTTGTAAATTAATGACATTCCTCCTGTTTAAAAATGAAAATTATGAATCAACTCAAAACCATTAATCCCAACATCCTACTCCTCACTAAATACACTCCTATTCGCCAGAGTATTATCTATTTTTGCATCACCTTAAATAACCATTAAACTACAAAATTATGTACATTGCGACCACAATATTAATTGTATTGAATAATATATATTTAATTTCTTTCTGCGTTGGTAGTATTTTAACCACAATTTACTCATTTAAATTCTAGCATTTTATAATTAAATTATAAAAAGGTAACCAGAGGCATTCATTACTCAGCCGGTCAAAAATATATTAAACTAATTGTAGTAATGTTTAAACGATACCGCAAAAATACAATAAAATAAGTAATAAATTCATCAATTATCTACCAGCCCTTTCGTATACAATACATCATACATACAATATAACATACAAACCAAGAAAATCAATATTAAACATTTATAATTCAAATTCCAATAATTATTTTCCACTCATTGACGTTAACCAATGATAAACGACCAGACTCGGGCGTTCCAAGTTGACGACCATCGACATTCGAGGAAGTCGAAAGAGAAAAAAAAAACTCTGGACCGCCCTGTGCTGTCGCGTATGAAGTCGTCATCCTCGAGAATAGTTCCACAATGACGGCGTCATGGAAGGCAGAAATCTTCCCTGTAGGTCCGTAAAGGAATCCAACAATATTTGGACTCGGCCACAATGGCGCTAACGAACCGTGCCCTTGGTTTAGAAGATTTCCGTCCCGAGAAATCACCTGGAGGTCCCATGATACCGGAACCCCCACGGGAGTAGGCCGGCATCTTTGTGTCATTATTACCGGGGGACGTTTCTCCGCGTGAGCATCGATCGCCCAAGGAAAGACACTTTTAACTTTACCGACAGGGCTTCCGTCACACGAAAGTGCCCGCGTGCACAATACACTCACTGATCTATGTAACTTCGAATTGGGACTTTCTTCTTAATCCTATTCTGCTATGGCATTTTATTACTTAAACATTATCTAAAACTCCCTGTGTTTTATTAAATAATGAATATTTATTGAAATTTCTCATGAAAACTTCCAAGTACTTCGTTTCTATGTATAACAATGAACCTATGGATTGCACAGAATTAGTGTAGAATTAAGTGTCAGTATAAATTAAGAATTGGTACGAATGAATGAATACAGAATTAAATAAAATAATACTACAGAAGCTATAGAATGACACGAGAAAAATGCGAATGGTACAGAAAATCAAGATTAACCGAAAAAATGTGATCACTGATAAAGTAAATATAAAATCGCGCGAGCTGTACGCCGACAGCGCGAAAGTATAAAAGAGAGCTCTACAAGTTACCGAGCACTCGGGAATCCGCTCAGGAAGGCTGCTGTTTCTTTTATATCCTCGGTAACGTTAACCCAAACGAACAACCCTGTCGCGCGATCAAGGTCGCGAGGCTTGTTTCCGGTACCGCGCGAACGTGAAAAAAGAAGCGGACAGCGCAAGAAAGGCCGAAGTAATATCATCTATTTCGGAGCGTTATCAGCAGCCCGGCAATCGGACCAACAATTACACTTGAATTCTTGTGGCGGGGATTACGCGGTGCGGGAAATACGCGGAAATCGATTCGATCCCCCCCGAAGGCGGCGAGTTGTCCACAAAGCCGGGACACGTAGCCACGGTTAATTTCCAACCGGCGCGAATCAAAGGGGGCTTCAAAGTATGAAGTCGTATCGCCGTGCCTACCAGCAGTTTGGTGATAAAGGTGTAAGGACATCAATTAATACTCGTTTTCATTGCGGCCGTAAAAGCGCGTAACACGATTACGGGCAACATTTACGGCCGGCGAACGAGCTGTTAACTGTACGGTATTTTTCGCAACGGGACGTTCATAATCGCGTGGTCTTTCATGAAACGAA